GTCGTGTAGGCGACCCAGTTCTCAAAGTGAGCGAACGAAGAAATTCGCAGCCCACACACAAACACTTGCGACATAATACTGAGGTTACGCTGACACGAACGCAAGCGTAGCAACAGCTCAGACTAGCGAGCGCGTCTCCGTACGAACGCGCGGACGCATCCCGTTTGTGGGCTTCCTACTCGCAATGCGTGGACGCAGCAACGACAACTTCGGTTATCTACTCATTCGCGAACACCGCGAAATACATATACGTGTGCCGCAGGAAAAAACTGTGAACGAAATACGCAGTACTCACAGAGCAAATACGAGACGCACTGGTGGGCTCCCAGCCGTCTCGCTTCACTTGAGCCAGCCATAGTTGTCGTCGGCCAGGGCTCGCTGGGAAGCGGAACATTCCCACCCCCTTTCTGTTGTGGTTAGTGCAGAGCGGTACGCAGCATCAAGGCATTCTAAGGCTTCACCGGCAGCGTTTAACACGCTACCGCAACGTTCGACGCCGTATTATTGAGAACTAAACGCAACCGGGCGTAGACGCAGTGCGGGCACCAAGATGGGGCGACAGCGCGGCGTTGCTGTCTGGCAACATTGTGTTTTGGCGGGCGGCGGTGCGTTGGCGGCATGTAGTGGGTCAAAGGCTGACATAACCCTAAAAAACGGCCGTTCATGTAGGCTCCCTATTCCCCATGTAGAAGCACCGCCATCCAGCGGACATTCTAAGGACTAAAACGAGAGGTGGCACTCGCACACTTTTTTACGGTTTGCGCTTCGGGTCTACTTCCTACCTTTAACCACCTCGAGTTCATGGTATACACTACAGTTCATTGTATTTATGGCACAAGCTATTTACAAAGGTAATTGCTAACAGAGTAAAGAAAACAATAGAATTCAATCAACCAAAGGAACAAGCAGGATTTCGAAAAAGCTCCTCAACAATCTACCACATTCATACTATCAGACAGGTAATAGAGAAATGCTCAGAATATAACCAACCACTATACATAGCCTTCATAGATTACGAGAAGGCGTTTGATTCAGTAGAAGTATCAGCCGTCATGCAGACACTGCAGAATCAGGGCGTCAATGAAGTATATATAAACATCGTGGAAGAAATCTACAGGGGATCAACTGCTACCACAGTGCTTCATAAGGAAAGGAACAGAATACCAATCAAGAACGGTGTAAGGCAGGAGGACACAATCTCCCAATGCTATTTACCACGCACTCACAGGAGGTTTTCAGAAGCCTAGAATGGGAACAGTTAGGGATAAGAGTTAAGGGAGAGTACCTTAGTAACCTGCAGTTCGCCGATGACATTGCATTGCTGAGTAACTCAGGGGACGAATTGCAACTCATGATTATGGAGTTGGACAAGGAGAGCAGAAAGGTGGGTCTTAAAATGAATCTGCAGAAAACGAAAGTAATGTACAACAATCTCGGAAAAGAGCAGCGCTTCGAGATAGGTAATAATGCACTTCAAGTTTTAAAAGACTATGTCTACTTATAGGCAGGTAATAACCGCGGAGCCGAACCACGAGATTGAAGTAACTAGAAGAATAAGAATGGGGTGGAGTGCATTTGGCAAGCACTCTCAAATTATGACCGGTAGATTGCCACTATCCCTTAAGAAGAAGGTATATAACAGCTGTATCTTGCCGGTACTTAGCTACGGAGCAGAAACCTGGAGACTTACAAAGAGGGTTCAGCTTAAATTGAGGACGACGCAACGAGCAATGGAAAGAAAAATGGTAGGTGTAACCTTAAAAACAAGAAGAGAGCAGAGTGGATTAGGGAACAAACGGGGCTTAAGGATATCATAGCTGAAATCAAGAAGAAATGGACATGGGCCAGGCATGTGGCGCGTAGACAGGATAACCGCTGGTCGTTAAGGGTAACTAACTGGATTCCCAGAGAAAGCAAGCGGGTTAGGGGGAGACAGAAAAATATGTGGGCAGATGAGATTAAGAAGTTTGCGGGTATAAATTGGCAGCAGCAAGCACAGGACCGGGTTAACTGACGGAACATGGGAGAGGCATTTGTACTGCAGTGGACGTAGTCAGGCTGATGATGATAATGATGATGATTCATGACACTGCGGCTCAACGCTCTCTAAACCTTTCTAAAACTAAGGAGGTTACACCCAGCGAGTATAACGTAGCAACCCTTTCTTGTCAGATAGTGCTCAATGTACATGCCAATGGCTGCTAATGTTAATCGCAGCGTGCACGTTAACTAAAAGCCGAATGCTCATCTCTCTCATTCCCCATTAGCAGCCATTAGCATGTACATTGAGCACTATTTTCTATTGTTCAACAACGCACAGAAGAAATCTCTCCCCCGCACCACCTTGGAGGTCAAAATGTTAACTTGTTACATACTACAACGGCTGCGAGGGACGAACGAGTGCCACTATAAGGAGCTTCGCCCCTAAAAGAAAAAAGTAGGGAGAAACACGTCAGACTGCCCAGCTCTGCAATTCTTTCCGGCTTGGCCCCACTAGTGCTAAGACACTTTAATCTGCCGATTCCTACAACAGCCCCTTTAAGCACTAGTGAAACATGCTGAAATGGTTTTGCAGTTTCATAAGATGACAAGCCTGGTCATGATTTTGGATTTACAGGTCTGTGTTCACATTAGCTTATGTCTATTGGTCTCACTCAAGATTAGTTGGCCGGTCACTGTGGAACCATTAATTTAATTTGCAGAGGCCAATATTGCTGGATTCAGTTCGAAACGCACGAAAGTTTATGCATTCAGAAGCTTAGTTTGTACACGTAAGAAACTGAATTATCTCGCTCTGTAAGCGTTACAGTAATGCTGTCTTTTATGCTTGAAATATTTAAAATCCAGTGCGAGAAACATTTATGTGAAGAGAAACTTAAGAAGCACTACATGTCTCAAGCCACATCCTCGATTAGTGATGTGAAAATGCCTCAATCAGCAGAAATGTTTTGAAGCGCACTGCATAAATTTGAAGAAATTAATTGGCGTAGATAATGAAATATGTAGCTTTTTGAGAAGCATATCTGCTGGCCGATTGGTGTGGTCTTTAGACGAACAGTGTGCTCTTGTAAAAGCCATTTATTAAGCATAGAATTTATAGTTCCTAAGGCGCAAACTGAGAACGAAAACCGCAGAATATAAAAATTGGCAGATCCCACGTACAGTGGGAAACGATTATATGCGAAGCACGAAGGAGAAAGGTTGGTAGGTCACTTTAAAATCAGCACAACGTCATGAAGTGAAGGTAAATTATGCACTACTTGACTTACGTGTCATAATTATGTTTGGATGTGTCGCTTCCTTTCGTCATCTACTGACGTCACGTGATGCCAAATTTAGTATATGTGGAGCTAGCGAAATGGCCGCGAGCATGCTCTGAGCGTGGTGTGTTGTCATGTTATTACATGACACGCGTGTCAGGATTATCATGTTTGTACCACTCATATACTTTCGTCATTCATTGACGTCACGTACCACCAAACTTGGTGAAGCGCTCAATATACTCCAACGTAACGCTGACGCACGCGCACGCTGGGCACGGCGACGCTATGTTAGCAATGCTCAAGAATTCTATAGTTTGACGCTAGGCGCGGCCAGCGTCCGACGGCAACCGGTGCGAAATGCGACATGCTGCATTTCGCGCCGATGCGTTACCCAGACAGCACTGCGCCTGCCTCTTTTCATGACGTAGGGACGCACATGCGCCAAAGCAACGCAGCGTGGCGCGCACCTGCTAGTATATGGCAGGACCTGCGCCTGGCGTGGCAACGCCGGCTAGACGCGACGAAACGAACGCCGGCGTGCACGCACACCGGGTCACGTAGAAATGTATTGGCCCCATGACTGTGGCATGTCATCATGTTCTCACATGACATGCATCTCATGATTATCATGCTTGCACCAGTCACATACCTTTTTCATCCATTCACGAACCGTAGTACCAAATTTGGTATATGTGACGCTAGCGAAACGGCCGCGAGCACATCATGACCATGGCATGTAGTCATGTTTTTACATGACATGCAATTCATGATTTTCAAGTTTGGGGTCTGTCACTTCCGTTTGCCATGCAATGATCTTATAGCCTACCAGTTTTGTAATAAGTCATGTGAACGAAACCACAGCAAGAGTAGCAGGACAGTGAAGTGTAAATTGTGACATCAATGACATACAAGTCATGATTTTCTGGTTATGACTAGTCGAATAACTTATTCATACAGTCATGTTATGCCATACCAAGTTTGGTATCGATACTGTTATCGAAACGGCCCGGAGAGCTAAAAGTCGTAGGCGGCTAGACAGACAGACGACAGACAGACAGACGGACAGAGAGACAGACAGACAGACAGACAGACAGACAGACAGACAGACAGACAGACAGACAGACAGACAGACAGACAGACAGATACGCTCAATGTCGTGGAAGTTCGCTAGGAAATGCTTCGCATTTCAAATTAGGGTTCGGTTCTTACGAAAGCCAGAAAAGTAATTTTCTTATTCTTTTGCAGTCATCCTTTTTGAAATTTTTATGATGTTGCATCCAGACGAGACAGCTTCGGTAAAAATCTTAACAATAGTTATTTTCCCGTTTTTTTAAACATTCAGGCGCTCAAATAATAGTGCCACAAAGCGAACAAAGCTGCAATACCTACAGACCAGTAGAATGGTACAGAAGACTTTGACATGGATGAAATTTAAACTATCTTTCCACCTTTGGGCAAAACATACCCTGACAAAATTTACACGTATGTATGGACATTACCCAGAGGGCTTTTTTGCTGCGTTACCCTAAACTAATGAGACCCATTTGGGCAAGAAATCTTTGGCCGAATTGTCTGTCTGTTTTGTAAGTCCTAAATTTCGATAATATGGTGTTCTTTAACCTGCACTGACATCGCACAGTACACAGGCCTCTATCATTTAACCTCCATTGAAAATTGAAGTTAAAAAATACACGACTCTGGTAAATACGTGGAACGAATAACACAAGCAAATGCATGAACACTTGCAAAGAGAACTTTGTTTACTTATTGGAAGCATAAAACAAGCAATACAGGAGTGTGCGCAAGTGCAAGTTCATCTAGTGCCCAATGATGCAAGCAGGGTTTTTCAAGAATAGCACGGGCATACTTAGAGGCAACCACTGGACACTACGCAACTTTCAAACCACATAAATTGTTCACAAGGGCAGCAGAAATAGTCGGTTATACAGACTCCAAAGCGCTGTGTCATGAATGAAGATCGGAAGAAATTGCCATTCGTAACTGTGAACTTTTCTGGCACATTACATCTCTACTAACTATGTACACATCCTGTTAACATACTGCGAGCCTTTGCAGCCACAAATCTGATTTCGCTTTTTATTCTCAGACACTACTTTTAAAGAAATTTGAAATACAATGCAATGCTGCTTTTCATCGTAGTGCCTCTGAAAAAAAAATTATGAGCATACATATGCAACGTACAGCGTTGAACATAAATGTCCCTAATGGTAGATGAAACAATGTTTTTTAGGCTTGTGCTGCCTGTGCAGCTGCCAGGCAAAAAGAACATCACAACTGCTAGTGAAGCGCAAATGAAAAAGAAACAAGAACCTGATGCGAAAGCTATACCTATTAAGAGAACTAAGGACAACCTATACTTAATTAGCACTTTCAAAACCTCCACATTATTGTGGCAGCGACATTTACACCAATATTAAAAGGGCATTTTACTGTAGATCCAAGAAGCTGGACATAGCAGTAAATTACTGACAAGAACGAGAGGTCTCATACGAACTCCTTTTTACAAAAAAAAACTGCTGAAGGTCAAACAGTTTTTAAAACTGCAGCAATAATGGGTGAAAACTCCTTGGACCAAATATGATGTTTCCATATTAGGCAGCATGCGGTCAACAGGCTTTCTCAAGAAGACATCTGGTAGCTTGGCAATCGACTGACTCTCAGTGACTGCTCAGGGCAGCACTCTTCTATCTCATTCTTTCACGCAACGCCAACAGCATTCTACAACAATGGCAACAGCATATTTTGATACAGACCACTGCAGCTTGCTGCTGAACCAACAAGCTACAGACAGCAATCACGGGGAGAAAAGCATCGCCTAAAACCAGCTAAAGCAGACACGTAACATCGTCTTCTATAAGTATTTACTGCATGTATAGCTATTTATATATATAATGTTTATTCTGAAAGTATCAGGAAAGAAACGCCCCACCTCCAAACTTCTCATGTTATGCTAAGGTGGCGCACTCAAATAGAATCCCAGTGTGCTTCCTGTTAGGAAGCCGACATGCCTAATATAAATTATTGGCTGCATGATACGCTGCCACACACTCAAGGCAGTCTTCCAGTGGTCTCCTAGTGCCCTACAACACCTAGCGCCAGCCACTGAGATTTGTGTACAGCAAAGTGGTTTACAGAAGACATTGCTTTTGAGTTTCACAGCCTTAACAACATTTAGGCATTGCTCAAAAACTTCTGTCGCGTAAGTCTTGTTAAAAGCACAATGAATTGTTTTTGGAAGGTGAAGGTTATATCAGCTAAATCATGTTGCATATTTATCTATCCAAACAGACAGAAGTTCTCACTGCAGATAAAAATGTACAAGTTCAGCACTTTTTTGGCAGTTACTGTCTCCCACGAAATACTACGTTCAGCAAGACATTAACCTAATTTGTCAACAAGTGTCTGTACTGCATATGAAAATGAGTTTGTGACATTTCTTATTTTTAGCACAACATATCGAAGTTCCTGAAAAATGAACTGTTTTGTAAAGTGGTGTATTTCCTAACAGTAAAATTTTCCCATTTAAAGTGTCCTCCATATGATGCATTTGACAAACTGTGCATGTTCAATGGTATGTGCTTTGAATATCATTGATTTTACTAATATTTCACCAATCCCTATGTATCAGTTTAGTTTCCAGTTTACAAATTAAGAGAAATCATAAAAAGGTGAAAGTTGCAGGCTGTACATTGATTCATGTTTCCACAAAAAAAAAAATGTTTTTTATGTCAACACTTTTCAACCATGAGTTGCCACTTCTCGAGGCACGAAGGGTGAAAATATAACCACTTGTCAAGAATTTACACTTTGACAAGCAATAACAATGCAATAAAACATTTAAAAGGCTAAAAAATTGTCTAATTGAATAAATTGTGCAAGTTCGCATATCTTTAACTCATTTGTAAGAGTGAGCACCTACAATTTACTTTTCATGTCATACTCGGAGGCTTTCATTACTGAAGGTAGAATAGCCACTTCACAAGCAGACTTCTAATGCTGATTCTTATCTTCTGAAGCGAGAGTTTCCCATGTTCATTCAAACTAGCAGTTGTACCAAACTGGCACACGAAATTTCCCTCATTCTCTAATAAAACGAGGAACACCTGTCAAGCATCTAACATGCAACACTTCTTAAATGATAAAATATGACATTTCCAAGGATCTTTTCTTACCAAATTGGTGCTAAAATGACCGCTTCCATTAGGTTTTTACAAAAATTTCAATTCTGATGTTTGTGTACTGTACGCTCACAATAAGTGATATGAAAATATTACCATTTAAATGAAAGAGTTTCTGTCAGCAGACTAATGCCAGCATTTCACCTTTGAGAGACAGTAACCCACCATCACAACACACTTCAATCATTCTATACGTTACCATGCTCTTCTATCATACTACCAACCTTTTCAGTTTACATGGTCACATCACGATGGTCACAGCGAAGCAATATCCATAGGATAATGTGCATACTCAGGAACTATTCAACACTCTTGCTGATAATCCAGCAGACTGATTCAGCAAACGAGACACAAATAAACGCTGTAGTTGTCATCAAAAACATACACCACAAACAAACAAACAAATAGGAAGGCAGAGCACGCATTGTTGCACAAACCGTGCAGTCCTCCACAACTCGATGGGTCAACGCATAAGCTGCCATATTTGCTTCACCTGACCATTGCAGAACAGACTTGGCCCTGCTTCCCACAGTGGCCACATGGGTATGACTGGAAGGCATTTCAAGAGACTGTCCGTGTGTCCCTGAAATGCGAGAGTCACTGTACAAGATTAACGCAAGTACTCTCCGACCATGTATATATTGTGGTGGTGGTTGTAGAATTGGTGATAACTGGAGACCTGTAACTCTTCATCACCATCAACTTTACACACACGCCTCCTTCAGCACTGTTCGTTGGAGCCTTCGGTGGGGGCCGAGCGAGTAGGGCACCCTAGCAGACATCCTCATCCTCGGCGCATCTCGCGGCTGGTAGAATTGAGCGGCCAGAAAGCTGACATTGCTCTGCAGTCTTTTATCTCATTTGACGATGTAAAAACTGCCACCTCCTTTTTTTTTCCCCCTGGGAGCGGTGCCGTGCCCTTTCAACTCATGGGTCAGTCTTGCCAGGCGAGTCTACGGGAGACGAGGAGTAGAAGGACGGCTGTGTAGTGTAGAGTGGCGCACCAACAACAGGCAAGCCACCAACGCCGTTGCAGTAGGAAGAGCCCGATGATGTCTGGGGCCGAGCTGTGGAAGGACCTTGCGTTGCTTGCGGGGCCCGAGGCCGTTCTGCTCTTTCACGCTGCATAAAGCTAGTGGCAGCCTCGAGAAAGTTCATAGTAGCTTTCATGATCTCCGCCTCTTCCTGGGCTCTCTTTTTCTCCAATTCGAGTGTTTCCTCTTCCACCTGCACATGAAAAAATGTGGCTTTCATTACTGTTTGTGCCTATTCAAAAAATGCAGGAAGTCTTCAAGGTTAGAAGATCTACCCAATGCACAAATCATACTGAAAGTTAAGCAAAATTATTTACAGCTAAGGAAGGGCAGTATAACCTAATAAATAAACTAGTGCAAGCACCCCTTCATACACCTTCAGTATTTACACCTAAAAAAAGCCACATAGGTATTATTACATATAATACCTTGTATTGCAGACTTGAATGAAGGAAGCCTTGACGAAACTTTATTGAGAAAAACAAACAGCAAAAAACTACATGCACTACCAACCAGCTTTGTAGATAATAATCATCTTACCATGCCGAGAAGTCAGAAACATCGCGAGGTTCTGCAGGAGGTCTGGTTACCGCAAATTTTATCAGACATCAATGTGCTTGTATACATGATATACATTTAAAAGCTGTATGACCATTATTTTAGAAATTGCTTGTTAAACCAGCCTTTCTCATTAGCCAATATGCACTGTCTACTGTGGCAGTGCAATTGCAGGCAAGAATTACTTCATGTTCACTTTCAATGCATCCTCCATATTGCTTGTTTTCTTGAACCCAGCTCAATACCGTGTTCATTTTGAACAATGCCCTTACGCTGAGTATCTGCAATCGAAATACATAAAATGCATGGCTCTATCAAGACAAAACAACATCCTTTCTTGAAATATTAATTTCCATGAAAGTGCCATACGATAGTGTCTCCACACAACAATCACCCCGTGCGTGACAATTAATGTAGAATATAAAACAGCAATAAAATTATTACACTGGATGTTTCTTGGCATCATGCAAGTTTTATCTTTATTTGCGGCCTGAAAAGGTTCGTCCCATAGCCGTCTGAACAATTGCAATGAATCAGCCATGGTCAACAGAGCTTCTGGGCCCCTTGGAACCAGCGAAAACCGGGCAAGTTCATTTCGTGAAAACGGGTTTTCGTGTTGCGAGAACTCTGCATATCACCTGGTAGAGTAATTATTATGCTAAAGTATAAAGCAATTTTGGTAAAAAGTAGAAGTATAAGGCAATATTTCATAAGGCACACTAGCTAAACACATGAACAAATTTTTCTTGTCATAAGAAAATGTAATTTTACAAGCTTGGTCGGCCTTCTTTTAACCCTCTGTCCCTTCACAAAACCTGTCGGTTAAGCTATAAATCTTCAACAGCGACCACCTTCACTCTATCAAACAAAAGCGGCAACAGCGGACGTCAGTGGTTTAGTGGGCGTAGAGGCAGCACCACTGTGGCAATGGCTTACGAGCTTCGCTTTCACAATATACAAATCGTCTTGGTCTGGCTGCTGCTTATGGTTCACTCGGGAAGGCCGGTTGACACCCCTGCCAAACAGCTGCAGTTTCCAGAAGACTGCACCTTTTCTACGGATCCGAGTGCCTGCGCCGACACACCTGAGCCTTCCAGGCCATTCGGGACATCGTCATTGTCAGAGACATCGTTCTTATCAAGCAACAAAAGCGGCAACAGCGGACGTCAGTGGTTTAGTGGGCGTGGAGGCAGCACCACTGTGGCAATGGCTTACGAGCTTCACTTTCACGTTATACAGGTTGGTGAAACCTATTCATTATACGCTAAGAAGACAAGTAACTGTTGTTTACTGCTGCTTTCACGCCCACAGGTGTTATACGTCTTGTCGCGAGAGTGTACTAACGCCCTTTACTCTTGTGTTGCGGTGACGTTCAAGCAAACCCAGGGCCTCCAAAAAGACCCCTGGGCCACTAGATGATGTCGAGAACAACACCGCTTCTTCTGATGCGCGTGATAAAGAAGTCATGGCAATGCTTTCTAAGATAAGTGCCCGCTGTGATTCATCTGCCATTGAGCAGTTCAATTTGTCAAAGGCGATCGACGAGGTGAAAGCCGACCAGCAACTTGTGGCGAGCAAATTATGCGAGATTGAAAGGCTGCTTTCGACGGTTGAACTGAGGACTAACTCGGTTGCTGACATTGAAAAGGAATTGCAGGTCACGAATGAAGCTATCGGCAGCATCACTCAAACAAATGACGCGTTGGTGTCCCGTCTAAACGACCTCGAGGAGAGAGCCCGAAGGTGCAACTTAGTGTTTTTCGGTATGCCCGATAAAAATGAGACCTGGCAAGCTACTGGACAGACACTTACCAACTTGCTCTCTAGTAGCCTAGGCACCGAGTTTGACCCGAATACAGTAGAAAAGGCCCATCATTTAGGTGGTCCATATATACGCAAGAAAACTCGACCAGTTATAGTAAAATTTGCAAGCCTTAAAGCAAAAGAACTTGTGCTGGCACGCCGATCTAAGTTGAGAAGTCATAACATCTCTGTATCGGAGGACTACTGTCAGGCTACAAGAATAGCACGCAAGATGCTGCACAACTATGCAAAATCATTGCCCGACCGACCCGCTTTCCAGCTTCGTTACGACAAGCTCGTTGTTAACCACAGAAACTATTCTTATGATGCTTCCGCGGGCATCGTACGTGGAAGCATCACTGCGCATTTTCTCAGTAATGGCAGCGGATCAAGCATCGTAAATGGGGCGCACGCCACTTCCGATCACAGCCATGACCTTCACGCACATTCAATGCCTGATGCCGCACTTTTGTCACATGCGCGGACATTTAATGCCTCCTCATAACAATCAGCAAGGAAAAGTGGCAGTATCGTATCACGTCCAATTTCGGTGCTCTACAGAAACATCCATAGTATAATAGGAAAGCGCGACGCTTTTGACGCTATTATCGATTCTTGTGAAGCCGACGTGATTGCCGTCCGTGACCGAGACTTGGTTGAATGCTTATGTTTGCAATAACGAAATTTCTACTATTTCCAAATCGTTGAACATTTACCGTCGCGATAGAGATGGAAGACAAGGTGGTGGTACTTTGCTTGCCATTTCGAAGCGTTTTAAGTCCTTTCTTATAAACGTGACGTCTACATTGGAAGTGATTTGGTGCGGGTTGGTTGTGAATAATAAAACACTTGTTCTTGGCGTCTGTTACTGCCCTCCAGATACAGACATCAGCTTTGTTCAGGAGTCTCACGATAACATTAATGAAATTACAATGCGGCACCCATCTTCTTCGATAACTATTCTCGGCGACTTCAACTATCCTACCATAATGTGGGCGTCATCGTTACCAGACGTTGTACCATTTTCTTCAAATGGCAAATGTTTTCTCGATACTTGCAACCTGTTTAATTTTACGCAGATGGTGAATAACCCAACTCGCGTCACCAATTCTTCATCGCACATTCTTGACTAGATTCTTACAACAATGCCCGACAACATTCATGCACTAAACTCACTTCCTGGTCTCAGCGATCACTGTCTGCTACATTTTTAAATACGCAACAGCATGCCAACTGCTACTAAGAAATGCAAGGTTATCTATAACTACAATGCTGCAAACTTTGACGGCAATGAACCACGAACTCTCTATTTTACGACGCTTATTTACATGACTTGGATAATAGAACCGTGCAGGAAAACTAGGATCCGTTGCTAACAAAATCTACGAACTTAATTGCACCTTTGTTCCCTTAAAGTCTATACCTGTGAGCTCTTGCTCACCCTGGGACAATACATACTTAAAGCGACTTTCTAACAAAAAGAAACGCTTGTTTCGTGCTGCGAAACTCCAGAGTACGAAGGAACGCTGGCGCTCCTACGAGAGTACAGCGCGAGTTTACTCGTCAGTAGTTTCGGATGCTAAGGCTAACTTTCTATCTAACACTCTGCCATCAATGGTTGTCAGCAACCCTAGAAAGTTATGGAAAACTATTACAAATACCAACGACAGTGAAATTGTACTTGTTGACTCGGACGGCCTTCCTGTATCTTCCGAGATGTGTGCAGCACGTCTGAACGAAAATTTTGTCCGGAACTTTTAGTATCATCCGCTTCTGCTACCAGTCTCTTTACCAGCGCGCAACTATCCATCAACGTCTGTTATAGTGACTGAGGCCCATGGAATTGTAAAACTAATTGAATCACTCAGAGTGTCCTCTGCTTGTGGTGTTGACAATATAAACGCAGGAATCCTTAAAGAAACTAAGCATGCCTCATCTATGTTTCTGTGTAAAATATTCCAACAGTCTTTGAATGAAGGTGTGGTGCCACGCGTTTGGAAAGAGGCAAAGGTGATTCCGCTACACAAATCAGGAAACGAGCATTCTGTTACTAATTACCAACCTATTTCACTTACATCTGTACCATGCAAACTTTTGGAGCACATAATTTTCTCTAACTTGGTCACCTTACTAGAATCACAATCGTTCTTTAGCACGTCACAGCATGGATTTAGGAAGTCATTCTCATGTGAAACGCAGTTGCTTTGTTTTACCCATTCCTTACATATCATTCTAGATCGGAGTTCACTGGTCGACTGCATTTTTTTAGACTTTCCGAAGGCTTTTGACAAGATAATTCATCACCTACTACTATATAAGCTTAGGACCCTTAATACTGATGGGGCATTCTTGCTTGGATCGAGTTTTTCTTAATTAATCGCTCACAATTCGTTGCTACTAACAACTACACCACACCCTCTTCTCCATTTACTTCTGGTGTATCCCGGGGTCCTGCATTGGGCCCTTTACTATTTCTTATTTATATTAACGATTTAACCGATGTTGCAACTTCTTCGATTCATCTTTTCGCCGACGACTGCGTTGGTTACCGAGAAATTTCATCTCACTCTGACGCTAGTTCTTTGCACAGTGACATTAATAATATTGCCAGCTGGTGTATACCTTGGCACATGGACCTCAACACTAACAAATGTAAAGTTTTACATATCTCACGAACTACCGGACCCCCTGCTAACTACATCTTAAATGACGTTGATCTAGAGTCTGTAACTTCGTATAAATACTTGGGGATTCATATAACATCCGACTTAAACTGAAAACATCATATTACCAATGTTATTAACGATAGCAACCATATCCTAGAGTACCTACGACGCAACTTTAGCCGTGCCCCTCAAGCCGTGAAACTAACAATGTATAAAACACTAGTTTGTCCAAAACTCAAATATGCATGCTCCATTTGGGACCCTTTTCAACTGAACTTAACTCACTCGCTTGAAATGATACAGAATAACGCAGCACGCTTCATTCTATATAACTATCATCACACTAGCAGTGTTACGTCAATGAAACACAGCCTTTCACTACAGTCACTTGAATCACGTCGCAAAGCATCTCGTCTCATACTTTTTCACAAGATATTCAATCATCCACTTTTGAAAGCTCAGTTCATTACCACTCCTGCCTATTACTCAGCTCGTTTAGATCATCAACATAAGGTACACGTCATTAGCTGCCATACTAACACTTTTCATCATTCCTTCGTCCACGCACATCCAACGACTGGAACCACCTTCCCTCAGACATAGTTTCCATGTCAAAGCATGACTTGTTTTCTTCTACAATACAGGAATACTTACGTGATGATGCATGAAGTGTATATTGTACATTGATATTATTGTATTCTGTTTCCACCATGTTTCTGATGGTACTTACACATACATTCAGTGTATTGCCTAACATGAAATTTACATGTCTTGTAATCTTTATTATTTTGATGTCACTATGTTTGCTCTTGTTTATAGTTTATTATTTTTTACTGTAGCGCACTCCCCTCTTTAAAGCTAGGTGCGATTGAGGGTAAAATAAATGAAATGAAATAAAATTTGAAAGAGAGGAGGTGAGGACAACAGTTCGAGAATATAGTCATCTGGCTCATCATATTACAGAAAAACCTGAATACTTCCTTTTTTTGTTGTTCCAAAAACAGCTCGCAAGCAACTGCGACACTAAATTTGTACATGGGCTATGGCATCGTACGATTAGAGGACCCAGTTGGTACAGCAGAAAGTGCAATAATGATCATAAAAGGCATGCTGCTGAAAATTACACATGAATATAGAATGAATCACTTTGAAGAATTTGAAATTTAACCTACACGACTCGCACTAAAGAGAAGTCCTGAAAGCTTCGAGGCAAGTATGCTTGAGACAATATGAGCACTAAATATGTCACCCCTGGGTGGAAAAATGTTTGGATTACAATACGTAGAATACGCAAAGTGATGTCACACGGTAACAGTTTTTTTGCGCGTGTAAAATTAGTGTTCCTAAAAAATTTAAAAAAAAGCAAACGAGTGTTACATACAATTCAAGTGGCACGGTGTGATGTTTAAAAGCGCCAAGCGCAAGTCTTTCAAACAAGACCAAGACGGCGTCATGCTATCTCATGGGATATGAGCTGTTTCTGTGGCATGAGAGGTGTAAGATCACTCAATCTTAGAGAAAATAACTCTTTTATAAGAGACACTGATATACGAGACAAATTGGTGCCTATAGTAAAATACAGGTTTAAAAGAAAATGCATATGTGGTACCATGATTATAAGAGTCATCTCATATAACAGAAAAGGATTGCTTCCCACAGCATGCCTCTTGTAAAGGAGTTCAAGTGCATGTTCTGAAGCTCGTGTTACTTTGCACTGCTTCATTACTAAAGCATAAACTTTGCAGATTACTTCGTACAAATTATGTCAATTTTTACCATTGTTTATTATAAAGTCAACACCTAAATGAATATTCTGTCTCATTAGGATATTGATTATTTATTTGTATTTGAAATAAACAATCTGAAGTTTCATACAGAAGCTCATGAGCAAGAAGTGCAGAAAGAAATAGATTGAGCTCATTATTTGTAATATAAATGGAAATAGGCTGACACTGAAACAGGCATTTGATGCAGTGGTAATTCGACAAAATGATTTTTATGCCTTCTGTTTTTTTCAGTTGTCATAGTAAAACAAATGTTTCTGCCAAGGTGTGGAAGGCAATATTTGTGTGCACCTTTACTCCTTTGCGGTTACTGTAACTTTGCTAGTAAGATGACATTCAGTTTCGCCTCAGCGAATATAAAAGAATACTTTAGGAAAATTTCTCCGAGCTGTAATAATACCTTCAAGATTCTTCGCAGAAGTTCCAACTCGTCCTCCTTGCGTTTCTTCCGTGGATCCTGGTCGCATTCTTCATCGGGATCATCTCGCGACTTGCGCTTGTTGCATCTGCGGTCAAGCAGGAAAAACGTATTTAGGTATGTCATTTGTGCAAAAAAGAAGCCTTTAGGGCTACCAGGTCTGCATTTGAAACCTCATCTCAACAGTGTGCTACACCTTAAGCATATCTTCTTTCACTGTCGTGTGCATAAAAGGACACACAAAAAAGTATTATTAAGCAAAAGAAATATTTGTAAATGATGCTTATCTCATAGAATGTAAGAACCTTGAGTGTTATCTCTTTAGAAGTCATGTGGTCAGTCAGAAAAGATGTAATAATGCACAGCATGTTCTAAATCCTGTGGTAGTGTATAGAGACAACATTAGCTTGTGGCATTCCTCCTCCAGCATTGTTTAGCAGTTTTACCAACTGAATGATGCTGCCAATCAGCCATAGTCAAAACACAGCTTTAACAACTTTTCACAACCGATAATGGGCCAAATATATCATATAACTTTAAATCACGGATGCCACCATCCTGATGATGAAGGCGCGTAATGTGAAAATTTCTTTCGAAAATTCTCTTCCTATCCAATACTAAGAAACTATTTAAAACAAACAAATGAGAGCTGAGAATTAAGAAATTTCTGAGAAGCAGCGTTTCTTTACCTCTCCGTTTTTCATTCTGGTTCGTTAGGTATTTGGTATTCAATATGGTTAATACAAATGAAAAATTTTCCCTTCAAGATGATTCTGCAGTTGTTAAAAGTATACACAGATTATTATCTTAATGCCTGATATGCTGATACCAACACTCCATGCCATTCTGAAATATTTTTTTAGCAGGAATATATTTTTGGGAAAACACCATACATTCTGTTTGTGGCCATACTGGTCAAAGCCCTATGGGCTAAGGACTTATGTTTGGTTTGTCAGCTTTCAGTGCTGAATGAGATACAAGATATGACAAAAAATTAAAAAGAAGCCTTCACTACAGCACTAGCCAGTTGCAGTGACAGTACTAAAACTTCAAATCAATTTGAATCGTTGAAATCACAATTAAAGTGCATGCAGGGCAATCGAATTTCTCAAAAACTGTGTGTTACACTCTAGGCTTTAAAGGGGCCCTCTAACACTTCTCAACCCCCGATTTTTTACTCGTGAACTGCATAGACTGACGCACGAACGAATTAGTGCAGCAAGAATGGCAGCGATAGTGGCACGCAGTACGAAGTTATTCAATTTTAAAATTCAAATACAAGAAAAAAATGCCCACCCTAACCTCAAATTTCGCAGGGTGACATAACCACATTTCCCTATCTGCTGTGACGTTGCAGGGGGCCTCTAATGACATGGGTTGAAAGCTCTTACCTAGAGGGAGCTCGTACACCATTGTCTGTTCAGTCAAATGTGTTTATGACGCTGTTGCTATAGCAACAGGCAACATGGTGCCTTACCATGCCGTTTTCTTTACGCGGTCGAACAGCTGGGTGAGGCTGGCACAAATGAGCCTTCCCAACTTGTCAGAACTAAAGCCAGTCCTTTTGCTTCGGAGCGAGACTTTACGCATCTTGTGATAGGCTGCGCTCATCGTCGTCGTTTCTGCCCACGTAAATCTAACGAGCGCCACTGTGCGCCGACGTGGTCGGCAGCAATGAGGTGAATTTATTGCACGATTAAAATACTACATGATTAAAATACTACATGATTTGATATCGGTGCTTGGACCTATGCTAAAATTATCCCTGGCCATCTGTCTACGTAAAACACATACAAAAAATAGGTGCTTCAAAAGTGTTGGAGAGCCCCTTTAAGAACACAGCATTAAACATGTCCTGCATAGATATATCTACAAAGGGCTGCCAGAGAATATGAGGAAGATAGTGCAAAGAAGATAATGTTATTCCTCAACAAAATTTATCTCTTCGAACTACTTCTCACTAATTTCATATCATAGTGTTATACTTATGTATTTCTTAGACGACCGATTAGTTAGTTTCCCTTTATCTAAATGTCAAAATTTTACCCGAAGATTAACTGCTGGTTTGATGGCAAATCACTCGTCATGGGTATGAGCCACATACAAAGAGTCAAGCAGGCAAACACTCACTGATATTCATGTGGGCTTAGCTTTTTTTAAAGACGATAGTCTTTCTTGGGGACCTTCGACGGAAAAATTGTGGTCTGTCTGTCTGTCTGTACATTTGTCTGTCTGCCCTTAACGATACCCCAAATGCCGACCCCATCCGCAGCGCCCACCATTAGTGCTGATGATTCCGCGTTCATACCTGTGCGATCGTTCACCAAAAAGCCATTATTGTGCATATCTGAGGCACCATAGCAATACGACAATTTTCTGCATGTGTGTCTTTTACTAGAAAAGACATACACAAGGAATTCTAAGGACTGTAGCATTTATCACGCTGCCCTGACCATGCAACACTTGCACGAAAAGGCAAGTGTTTCCAACGCCTTGCTAAGATGACACGGTGGTGGTACCTACCCGTCGCCTTGCGTTCTACACCTCATCACCTCCGAGACACACGTGGAGGTCACCGCACTTTGTTTTCCAAAATAACTGCCAGATGGCACTCATGTGTCACGTCTGACGTGGCTTGATATGCTCGTTCGCCTTAGCTGTACGCTCGAGGCACTCCAACGCAGCGCCTCCAGAATACCATTCACTGATTTTCTTGTGCAGAACATCAAATCAACGTTTTTTTTTTTTTTTTTCACTCTTTCCAGACCCAAGACTATCGTCTTTCGATGACATTTCCAGTGTAACCTGCAGATACGGGGCCAATTTTTTTGTGCAACTGTTTCCGAGTAAATCATACATGGTATGATACCTTATGAAGAACGTCATGGAGTCCTGAAGTGAACGCAGGATTGATATACTTTACAAATATTCTGAAATGCCGTTCCTGTCTGTAATATTTCGTTGGAGAGTGTGGCTTTCTAGATTGAACATTCGCAACCGATTTATCTTTACATTCATATTTCAAAGAACACAACCTTCGCATTTGCAAAACACAGTGCAGTCCATCCTGTTTCAAGTTCAAGATGTTCTGGACCAACATAGTCAAATCTTAAGGACGATCATAGTGTCACTTTACATAACTATGCAAAAACAACTATTCCACATTCTCAATAAGGGCACTGGAACAAGAATGACGACAGAACCAAGCAGACAGCCAAGGAAAAGTCGCAAACACAAGAACATCACAGCTGGAATGCTCCGGGTTGTGCCCTTCGTGGAGTCATGAATGTCAGAAAGTCCATAGACTTCGTGCGTGGTAAAGTTTCTGTATGATCACTGTTTTTGTTAAACTTAGAGAACCATATGTACAGCAAAGTTCAACCTGCTGTATTTAGCTGTTCTCCTGATGAGAATATTCTACTGAAAATATTCGCTGAGAATTCCCCTGAAAGAAGACACAATGGTCACTAATGCACAAAATACTGGAGGCACGAAGATTGTCTAAGTGGGAAATACAGCTTTATATAATAGTTACAGCTTTCTTTATTGGATAGCAAAGAAAATATTCCTAATGAGCGGTTAAAAGCCACCATTGCAAGGATAAATATCAAAACACATGCTAATTATTTGAATGTTGGCTTAATATTGGCCAAAACACAATTCATCGAGGCTAAATATCTTCATATCAATGTGATAGATCAATATTGTAGTGCCCCTGATTTGACTGCAGTGATAGCACATTATGCACAGTAATTTCTAATGGCCAGCTGGCTAAACAAAACTATTGCCACGTTGGTGTATGTGTGGAACTAAGTGTCCCAAGTGAGCAAGTGTTATATATTTCACTTTAATATTGATTCATTTTAAATATTTTGGTTGTTTTGAATAATTCAGTACTATTCTAGGTTGATCCTGAATTTGTGTCTCAAGTATTGCATTGTTCAACAATGAAACATGGGACATTTGCAAAAATCATGAACTTCCATTTCAATAAGTTACAACAAAAATTTTTGAATTAATGTTTCCTCAGTGGGTCATTCATTGTTTGTTGGAAGTTTATTGTGAAGTTTCTTAATAGATAACAGTTACCTATAGCCTTGCGAACGGCAACAACGCATACACAAGTAAGAAATTCCTCGCGAAGAAAAGATGTTCCCCAGTCGCTGTGGCCGCCCCAAAAACCGAGCAAGTAGGAAAAACATGAAATTCCCACAAAATATTACATGAGTAATCAATCTGCCAAGTTCACCAGGAATATCACGCTCAGGAATTATTCGCTTGCCGCGGAATATGCAGCGTTACAGGTCCCAATAGCCGCCTGACGTTTTCAATCGATCGCAAAGTGCAGTGTCGTCGGTATATATGAAAGAGAAATGCCTAACGATGAAATTCGACCTAATAGCTGTCATCGTTTGGATAAAAAATTTGCATTTCCTTCTAACCTTTGTAACCTGAATCTAGCTGTGTGTTCTACCAAGATGTTTCATGGCATAGTTGACACTTGCTTGATAAGGTATTTTAGCCACGAAATAACACATAGACAGAGCACATTCCAGAATTACACTCTCAAAATGCCCACTTTCTTGGTTTACAGTTTTTGCACATAGGTTGACCATGTTGTTCTTGACAGATCTATATTTCCTTTTCAGCACCTCAAAATATTCGACAAAATGCTGCTATGAATAGTTCAGAATCATTCACATTAATAGATGTTATTGTATAGTTTAGTTCTTTATTGTTTTTCATTTTCCTCAAGAATCTACGCTAGAATTATGTGCCCAGGAATATATGTGAATGACATTTAGATGAATGTCTTACTGCTATGGAACAGTTGTAATGTTTGTATCACTTTATTGCTATTTTCTTACAGAACAGTAAAGATAAATAAATAAAGTGTGCACTAATGTTACTCTGTTAGAATGATGTAATTTATTTGACAGGCAGTGATGAGCATGTTAAATGTGTGCTGCAAGTAGCTATTGAATGCATGTGATGCGCTCCCTTTAAATGTATCTGACCCCATGAATATAGACGTGGCATAAACGCTACGCCTTTCTCATAATGTCCCAAGAGATGCAATGACTAGGCAGTCGAAGGGCAATACGTGTTGAACACTCACTTCTCATTGTCGTAGCAAATGCTGACTTCGGGCTCTAAGGTGATATCTTCGATGGGCTCTCTCTTTGGTGCGATAGGAAGCCTACTGCAAGTAGACCATCAGGAAAGATTAAATTAACAATGGGTAGTAAGAATCAGTGAATCATAGAAAGATAAATGCAAAAACAATGCCACTTTTTCCAGTACACCAGTTGAGCTAGATCAGTATTGAGCATCTGCATATAAAACTTCAGGCTTCCTTTAAAAAAGAAATAAAAAAGTTCTTACCTTTTTCAGCCTTCCCGAAGCCTACAGAAGTAAACATACTGGCTGCCCATAGTACACGTAAACAGTTACGAAAAACTGATAAGACTAATTCATCACATGTCTTTGAGTACTCAGAGAAGTTAGCATGAAACGTGTACTCAGTGAATGTGACACGAATGTAACAGACAAACACGTTCAATGAACAAAGAAAAATAAATAAAAACAGACAAAATTCAACAAAATCTGTAGTCACTGTTGCCTCCATTAATATCTTCTACGATACGCGGATACTCACTTGATCGGTTGCAAGTTCTGGAACTGCAAGTCACCGGCACGAAACTCTGGGAACTCAATCTCCGGCTCTGCAAATGTAAGAAGAAGCACACGCGCCCTTATTTTTGCGTCCGTCCATGTTCCCATGGCAAGCGAGTTTTATTTCAGCATCACAAACCTGAGCACGCTTTCTCCCAGATCACGTTTTGTGATGCACAAACGAAACACTTCATTTATTCACTTATGTCTGAATCCACTCCAACTGATAACGTCAAACTTTTGAAAACACTTTTGTTTTTTAGAATCAAACGTATTTTAATACGCGTGAACATGTAGCTGTCGTTACTAAAAAACATAAATCTCTTATCCCCCCTCCACCCGCCACACTTTTCCCGTTGTGAGGAGACAGTGCTATGTATTTCACCATCGGTGGTGTCATCGCCTATACATATTACATTACGAATAAAATGACCAAATGCACCGAGTACGACAGCTGCGTTGTCTGGGAGACAGTTGAACACCTCCTGTGCCAGTATTTTAAAAACAAGACCAGTTCCGCTCAGCTGAAGAAATAATGCAAGGAAATAGTATCACCCTGGAGGAGATATTGGTACCGTAGTTTCTCGCGGTGACGTTATAAAGCACCATAAAAATGTGGCTGCTATTTGTGAAGACTACCAGGCTGACTGAGCACAGGACTGTTGACGTTGTTGTCGTTGTTGCGCGTTTACCTAGGAAAATTCTCTGTTACTACAATGCAGGCGTCGCCCCGCCGCGGTGGTCTAGTGGCTAAGGTACTCGGCTGCTGACCCGCAGGGCGCGGGTTCGATTCCCGGCTGCGGCGGCTGCATTTCCGATGGAGGCGGAAATGTTGTAGGCCCGTGTACTCAGATTTGGGTGCACGTTAAAGAACCCCAGGTGGTCTAAATTTCCGGAGCCCTCCACTACGGCGTCTCTCATAATCAAATGGTGGTTTTGGGACGTTAAACCCCACAAATCAATCAATCAACAATGCAGGCGTCAACAGTGAACTCTCAAACTGTTCTAGGCCTCACTTTCCCCAGTGCAGGATAAGCAACTGGACTCAGTCCTATCTATAACCTCCCTCTATTTTATTGATTGCCGTCCTATTAATTTTCGTGCACACACACACACACACGCACGCACGCACACACACACACGCACCCACGCACCCCCCCCCCCCCCCCTCCCACACACACACATACACACGTATAAAGAAAAAGCGGCTATCGCACCGAGAGCCCACGCTGCACGCTTGAAAAATAAGATCGCCTAAGAGCAAGTAGAGAAAAAAGCATAAGTGTGCACAGCTCTACAAACAAAGAGAAAAGACAAAACAAAAAGCGAGAGAACGGGAAATGCAACCACGGCGAACCGGAAATGAAGAAAAAGAGAAGAGGACGGTCGCGAGAGGGAGTGAGAGGTCGCGTTAACAAGAAAGTCAAAGACGGCAGGACTCATTTGGGGAAGCGGCGAGCGTCGCGGCGCAGCTGGCCAGCCCGCATCGACCGCACTGGCCGCAAGCCGATGCCGTCCGGCGCGCTAATTGACGAGCAATTATCGAGCCCGAGATCGCGGCGGGGCGACCCGATCGAAGACGATCGAACGAATAAGACAAGGAGGGGGATGAGCACCTCCCTCTCCCCTCCACAACACGTGGCTGTCTGTCTGAGCGCGGCAACAGCGGCGAAGCGCGCTTCGTTCGCAGCGTCCACGTGCAGCTGATGGAGCAGAAAAGTTCATGGGCGTTCAGTGTAATCCATTCTTTCTCAGAGCTCTGCAACGATAACAGATCGCCTTCTGCGAGTTGTGCCCTCTGAATTGGCGATAAAAAACAAATACATCAGAGCAGAAGCAACGCCCATTCTTTTGTAGCAGCTGTCCTGAGAGACCCAACAACAAAGAACTACAAAGCTAGGTGAATCATCTTTTTTTTTTCAGTCTTGCACAATCATACACGTGCCGCAATGCCTACAACAAAGACACGTTATAACCTTAAGTCCTTTCCTTGACCATGCACGGTCGTTTGACTACGAGTTCGGCGCGATATGCATGCTCAGCTAATGTCGTTCGAGCAACGTAGGTTTTCAGTGATTGGAGTCTCCTGTCACCAAGCTGCGTTACATGCGTTCCAGAAACAATTGACTTGAATGGGTAGTGACTGAACTAGTTAAGCTGTGAAGTTACTCAGTATTGTAAATGTATTTTTGGAGAAAATGACATCAATCTTAGTTCGCATATTGCCCGAAGATGACACCGCCTACCTGAAAAGACGCCACCAAAAAATACAGTATTACACAGAAATGCATTATATGCTGTAATATACAAGACGTGCTCTGAGCATCACGTCTTGAGCCTTTACAGGATTAAAATAGGTCCCTTAGCATTTAACCGAATAGATACTCGCCTGATTACTCTAGAGTCAAGTTCGACTCGCTGTTCTTGAGCGCATTTATCTCGACAAGTCACCTATCTAACGCACCGGTGGCACTACATGTAAAGTTCTCGTGCACTAAAAAACATTATAAAAACGTCAGGCCTGCACGGAAGGCGCAGCCCACAACCCTGGCATCGTTCCTTGTACGGCAGGCACGATTTGACGAAGGCAAAATATACTAAGGCACAGTTTGTGTTCATTCCTTAGGTGTCTTTCCTTAATAGTTTGAATCACCCTGCCATCAGCTTTGTTTGCTTGAAGTTTCCACGATAGAGCCTTAAAGGCGCAGTGGTGGTTTGCAAAAATGGTAAAGCTTGTCACATAAAATTGAACATGAAAGGTACTTTGATGCTTCTCTGCGAATAGCTTTCTTACGAAGTCAACTTTTCTACTATGCGAAATATTGCACAATGAAAGAATGATAGGACTTTGCGCCTATCGGTGCATTACTGAAGTTTCCCTGATTGGCTTGTTGCTTTCCGAAAGTCTACGTATACACAAACATCGGCAGAAAGCGCTAATGCTTTCGTACGCCTACATAGACGTCGTGTATGAAAATTTACAGGCCTCCCATGGCAACGCAATATTTTTCTAACGGTGTCCAAATGAGACACACATCGCAACTAAGTGCTCGTACCTGCCCATCCTGGATTACGCCTCTATTAAATTGCCTAACATTGCTTTCGCTCTTCCGTCGAGCACTCTTACATAGAGACTGGCAGCGACGCAAGCGATGTAGCATTAGATAGCATTGTGCACGTTGCGAGAACCTGCATCATTGTGAGAACAGAATACAATGCACGCTATCAAAGCCTGATTCTATGAATATAGCGACTCACTGACGCTTACAGTGAGCGGAGAGCAGTGATGCAGGCTCGTATGACACAGACTAAAAATAGGCTAAGCTCATACAACACTGCCTGGTATTATGAAGTTAACGTTCGGCTACGAAATGGGGATGCCAGTGCTTACTCCCCCCCCCCCCCTTTCATTTATTCGCACTGAAAAACGCTCCAAGTACGTCCAGTTCTATTTCGTGCAAAAAGCTCGCCTGCCCAATTAGATTGGGCTGGCTGATTGAGCCGGTTGGATACGCTATACTGCGCCATCAGATTCCAGCGAGCAATAAGAAGAAAGTAAAATAAATAAACACCTGAGTATTCAGGAGACAAACCAACGGGTAGGGATTTCCTCGTTCGCAGACGAAGTTACCCTTTCTGTAATTTCGTTTACTACTGGGCATCATCTCCTTTTGCTTAAGTATTTCCCGGCGTACTTCGACCTAGCAATAAAATACATTCTGTCATTACGCGATCACTCCATATATAAGAGAAGGCATTCACGGAACGAACCCTACGAATATCGCATATTGATAAAGCATCGTACAAAAAAAAAAAAAAAACAGGCAGCAGGTGGAGGCTGCCGAAGGAGACAGTGTTGTGCATAGAAGGGTTAAGGGCGAGTTTAAGTAGAAGCGCAACACGGAAAGCAGCAGCAGCTATACGCATGTATCACTACAGCCGATCCCACGAGGCAAGAGTAAAAATGAAATGATACGAGGTGCACCAGGGAAAGCGTTGAGAACGACGCGACAGCTGCGGTTCGTAACGCTGCACCACTCGCACTCACGCCGTCGTTGCCGAAACAGTGCATGAACGCGCTCCGCGTTTGCTGACGCGTGTACGTCTGTCGAAACTTTTCGAGATCTTTGTTGTAGTTCGGTCAGTAGAAACGTAAGAAGTGATGCAGGCAATAATTCAAGTAGATAGTAATTGATGGTTGGAGTACACAAACGGGTGTTGCAAGAAAAAGTAAGAAGTACAGGCAGACAGGGACGCAAAACTGAATGCAAAGTATTTAAACTAAGATCAGTAGTGATATTTACAATGGCGAAAAAAAAGAAAAACAAAGTTCAGCTGCCCTTTCAATAGGGGAAATACAGCGCCAAACGTATATATAGAGTTGTAGATATAATATTTTATTATTATATTACCTACTGCGCGAAGCTTGGTACCTGCTTGCCTGACTTACTACTCCCCCATTCTTTGTCGTTCTTTTTTTAACACAAAAGTATTTTGTGCTCGGTTCCACCAAGACTTCAGTGACGCATTTCCGTTTCAATGGAGGCGAAAATGTTGCAGACCCGTGTGCTCATATTTGCGTACACGTTAAAGAACCCTAGGCGGTCGAAAACTTCCAGAGCCCTCCACTACGGCGTCTCTCACAATCATACGGTGGTTTAGGAAAGTCAAACGCCACATATCAACCAATCAATGTTTTTTTTTTTTTTTGCATATGTCCTTTTGAGTCATGGCAGGACACCGTTGCTGCCGCCGGGAGATGCCACCACGTACAGATGGCACACAAAGTCACGAGGATGTCTGCAACAAAGGAAAGCTCGCGGACATTTTGGTTTATTGTTCCTCAAAACCACAGCAACGTCATGAACAGCTCTGAATGATTGGGGTAGGTGTGAGGGAAGAAAGGTCTTGTACGCCACTAGCCTTTCCGTTTTCAAAGTTTTATGCCGATAAATAGGGCCTGCGCTGCTCCCCATGAAGATTTAATACTGCAGGCGCCTACGCCAACAACTAGTAAAAATAAAACAGAGTCATAGAATCCTCGGATATT